TGGGGTTGCTTACTCGTTCTGTGCTGTGTCATTCAAGGCCAGTTTTATCCTCAGTGGTCACTAACAATTCCCAAATATTCACCTCAAAAAGCTTGGAGCTCGTCTGGAAGTGAGGAGTGAGCACGTGGATGCAGTGTATTGTTGAACCGGTCTTAAATGATACCTGGGTCTTCTCCAGCTTTCCTTTCTGAAATTACAGCCCCGGATAGCTCAAAGTTGGAGAAAAATTCTGGCTTTGTTTCTATCTTTATTGACCTGCTATCTCCAAATAGGTGTCATACTGGATCAGGAAACTGAGAAGGAGGTTATTCACAAAGATCTAAGCAAAGAGCAAGACTATGGTAGAAACTTTAAGCGCGTTGCTCTGTATTTCTCTGAAGACTGTCTGAGTACATTTCTATACAGTATCTCTACACTAGAATCCTATGATAGACAAAGAACGCACTTTTCGTTAAGTGAACGTGATTACACTATTCTAGGGAGCCTTGGCTGTGCTTTGTATAATATAAATTCTTTTCAAAAAACTTTTTGTGATTCAGAAGAGAGTTTTGATATATGTCCTGTATACACTTAAAAATAATGTCGTCTTTGTTGCTATTGGATGACAGGCTTACCCGTTTTTGTTGTATATATAAGATTATCACCATGCTTTGATATGCAAATAGTGCACTGAATAAAATTAGCATATCCATAATCTCAGAGCCTCTTTTGTGCATGTGTGTGGTAAGAATGCCTAAAGCCTCCTCTCTTAACACATTTCTTGTTTGCGAGGCAATATCGTTAACTATATTTTTGCTTTTATATATTGTATCTCTAGATTATTCAGTCTGCCATAACTGAAGCTTTGTGTTCTTTGATGGACCTCTTTCCACCCTGTATCCTGCCCCTGCAATCACCAGTCCACTGTCTCTTTAGATTGGTTTATTCTGTTGCTACTTTAAGATTCCACATACGAATACGATTGTCCAGCATTTTTCTTCTGGTGTCCACTTACTTAATGCCATATGATGTCCTCTAGGTTACTCTATGCTGTGGCAAATGTCTGAATCTCCATATAAAGGATGACTCTTTTTTATTCACCCACCAGTCATGATCTCCGTGTCCACGTCTTAGCTCTGAGGGATAATGTTGTGAAGAACGCGGGTATACAGGTACCTTAGCAAGGAGATGGCACATACCCAGAACAGAGGCTGTGGGGTCGTACACTAATTCTATTTTCAAACCCTTCAAGAACTTCCATATCATTTCCCACAGTTGCAGCAATCAACTTCCCACAGGGACGAAGGGGGTAGCTTTTGTCTGGACCTCTTTTTTTGCTGATAGGACTTGGTTGGAGTGTTTTAGATGTCAATTAGGTCATGCTGTTTCACGATAACATTCATGTCTTCTTATGTTCACACTTACTTTCTGGTCTATCCGTTGTTGAGGTGTGTTGTTGGAATTTCTGTACCACACTCTCTTTTCCTTGCCTCTTCACAGAGACATAGTAGGTTTTAATTTACCCAATTTAACAATTATATTCTTTTAAGTAGTTTTCAGTCCATTTCATTCCCTGGGACTATTGATGCAGCCACATTAAATCTCATCTTGTCCTTAAAAGCCTTATTACGTCTGTTTCTTATTTTCTTTTTCTTCTTTAGACGGCGATATAAAAGAACGACCCTATTCATTTCCTTTTGTATCTTACTCTAGCTTTTTGCTTGGCTGTATCTTTCAGGTGTTACAGCCACCCATACACACTTGATCTTATCACAGCCTCCCCTGAAAGGATGCTCCAGTACCTCACATAAAATGAAAAGAGTACAAAGCATTGTGGCATAGCTGCTTCCTGGCACTTGCGACTCTCCGTGTTGTAAATCCTACCATGCAATGCTATTATCTTGATTTAAACAGTCCATTAACACTTAAAGAGATTGAAATAATAGGGAAGTGTTTCTCATTTACTCACAGTGAGCAGCCCCATGTTCTTTCCTCTGCATATCTGGGTTTCTATTGGATATAAGTTCTGTTTGGTTGATGGCCTTCCCTTGACATCCTAGTAGAACAGGTACGCTGACGACAAACACTTCTGCTAGAGATATTTAGAAACTCTATTTCCTTTCCTATTGGAATGCCACCTGCTCTGTGAAGGAAGCTCCAGGTATTTTCTCACATTGCCCCTTCACCTCCATCTCCACCTTTCCCATCTCCTGAACTTCCCGTTTCTGAGAATAATCTGGGAGTCACTCTCCTTGAAAGGGTCGCTCCATTCTTCCTCCAGCTACTCTGAAGGTACTGTCTCACCTCTGGGCTTTACCTGTTTGATCTTGTCTACATTAGCTTGTTTTCCTGTTGTTACCATAAAACTGACAAAAGCTGCTTAGGTGGAAATGGTTTATTTTGGCTCATGGTTTGAGAGTACTGCCCATGACCACACAGAAGTAATGACTGTGGAAGCTTGAGGTGGATGATTGATCCCAATTGTGTCCAAAGTCAAGAAGCAGAGAGGACAGAGAACAAGCTAGCACTCGGTTTGCTTTACCCCCCCCCCCTTTTTTTGACATCCAAGATACCAGCCTAGAGAATGGTGCCACCCACAGTGGGTAGGTCTTCCCGCCTCAGTTCACCTACCAAGATATTTTCCTCTAAGTACTCCCAGAGGCCGGGTGGTCCACTCTCCATCCCTCTGCTCCTTTCCAGAAAGTGACTTTCAGTCTATTTTTTATCATTAACATCCTTACTTGCTACCTTCATTGTTCCAAATCACCTCATTAGGAGAGACTTGGCTGTCATTTATATGACCTCTCTCCATTAGCTCACACTTCCAAGAAGCAACTTGCCTTTACTATAGAGATAGGTAAGACAACCCAGAGGATTGGGAGATGGCTCAATAGATGAGAGAGTGTTCGCTGTGCAAGCAAGAGGACCAGAGTTCAGATCCCCAGCATACCTGTAACAGCGGGGTATGCCTATAACCCCAGTACTGTGAAGGATAGAAACTCTGGGGCTTTCTGGTTGACAACTTAGCTCCAGATTCTAGGAAACCTTTCTGTTCCAAGAAAGTGACAGGGAAAGCCTCATCCTTTTCTGTCCTCCCCATAGGAGTATGCTTACCTGCATACACACATGCACAAACCCTCATATATTCCACACATGGGCATTTGTGACCACATGCATGTGTGCATGTGCGTGTGCATGCACGTGCACGCACACACACACTCGTGTGCACACAGACACTCACACTCAAACATCCATGCCCTACAGCTACTTTACAGAGCTCAATCCAGCGTTCCTGATCATGATTCAAATAAAGCCTGGATCAGTTTTGTCTTTGCCAAACCAGTTGAATGCCCTGAAAATGCCATAACTTTTCCTATTGCCAGTGGTGCTGAGCTAAGCCTCTCTATCCTCACCACAAAGGAGATAAAAAATAACCTTTTCTGTCTTTACAAACATTAGCAAGAAAAAGGGGGGGCAGGGGAGAGGGAGGGAGAGGGAGGGAGGGAGAAGAAAAGATGTTAGTTAAACAGTTTCACAACAAACAAATTATTTCAAGAATAGACACCCTTCTGGGCAGTGGTGGTGCACACTTTAATCCCAGCACTCCGAGGCAGAGGTAAGAGGCTTTCTATGAGTTCGAGGCCAGCCTGGTCTACAGAGTGAGTTCCAGGACAGCCAGGACTGTTACACAGAGAAACCCTGTCTTAAAAAAAAGAAAGAAAAGAAAAGAAAAAAAGAGAAATATGAAAAAAAAAGAAAGGACATCTAATTCTTGATTATTGGTAATAATCAATAATCAATATTTGATTTTTGGTAATAATCAATCTTTGATTATTGGTAATAATTTGGAAATCTTAAGAACTGTGACAGCTTCAGTTAAGATCAGTTGAACAGAACCATTGAGAGAAATCACCCCGAGACTCAGCACAGACACAAAAGCAAAGGGGGCAGGCAAATCTAATGATTCCATGCCTTTCTGCCCTGAGTCCCTGACCTAAAACACACCAGAAAAGTCAATCCTAAAGCTTTGATAAGACGACAATTTGTATGTGTTTTCAATGACAATTCTTGTCCCTTTGGGTTCCTTTTTTTTCCATTTTGTATTTTCCAAATATTTTGTAGGACTGGAATGAATATATATATGTATATATATGTACATATATACGTGTATACATATACATTCCATTATATGTATGTGTATACACATATGCGTATGTATGTATGTATGTGTATTTTACTTATTTAGGTCAAATGTAAAATAAGTGGCCCTACAACTAGTAGACACTGATGTCGAGGTCACTTCAGGGTTACCCGCTTTCCAGTGATGGTTTCTTCAGTGTTACCCTCTTTCCAGGGACAGTTTCTTTCTCCTGAGAATGTGAAGGCTTCCAGAGCAAATGTGTATTCTATATTGTAATTAAAGCAGCTTCTACTCTTACATATTTCTTTCCCCCAGTAACTGCTGGAACCTGCACCCGCAGGTCTGGCGAATAGTTAATGGAAATCATGCCCCCTACTACCAACACTGCATTAAACTCTCGGAGGAAACTCGACAGTTCTCAGTAATCCGTCAGAAGACCCTGGAAGCAGGGCTGCTGGGGACAGGTGGACAGATGGCTTTAACTCCTCAGATATTCAAGAACTGAAACTGTACCCAGAGCACACACACTGCACCATGTACTTAGGGTATTAAACTATCTCCTAGCAAAACATTCTTGGAGTAGTTGTGTGCTTGGCGAACATTTTGGTGAAGGAATAAATGAAAGAATTAATATCCTCAGTGGTAAGAATAACCAAAATATACATGTAACTTTTTTAAAAAAGACAATGAGATGCGCTAAAAATCATGTGAGCAACATAAGTAACTTTCTGTTACGATGAATGGAGTTTTGGTTAGGGGATGGTTATGTCTCTAGTTTGTGAGAAAGCTTATACAATGAACTTACTGGCCAAGCCTAGGGGTGCGTGTTTGCTCAAAAAAAAAAAAAACAGAGCCAATTGTGCGGGGGAGTGACACTCACGGGTTCTTTTCCCATCTTCTTTTGTAGCCGCGTCTGCCACTGGACGGCTTGCATGACAATGGCTTCCCACCTTCTTTCGAGGTTTACAATGATCAGCTGCATGGGCTGGTGGTCCGCATTCAGATTGCAGGTGTCGCGGTCGTCCAGAAGGTGCTGGCACAGCCTCAGAATGGAGGCTACCCCTCTACGACGCTGCTTGATCTCGTGACAGAGAGACTGCAATACAGAGAAGGAGACCAGTTTGTATGTGTTAGGAGGACCAGCTTTCAGGAAACATGAGATAATCACTTACATCACGATTTCACATTGCACAGACTGCTCAGCTTTGAACACTAGGGCAGGAGCGGACCTACAGTTTTCTTGAGATTGGTGGCCTCCAATACACAGCTGTTGAAGGCGAGGGAGTTTAGGAGCCTGGGTTTCCTAGTCCCCTTTCCTCTGATTTATGCTTCCAAAATGGAAGATCTCGTCTTGGCACTCGGGTATTAGCAATCTCTTACATGGTGGAGAGAAATCACCTAAGTCTTATGAACTGCAGACTGTAAGCAGAGCGAGGGTGTTGGTTCAAGGTCAAAGGAAACATAAACAACAAATAGAAAATCCTTATCCAAGTGCAATTATTCTTCTACATTTACCCCTAGATCCTTTGGAGGGAAAAAGTTCAGTATTTTATTGGCAAAAATAAATAATACTGCAAAGAATTTTCATATGTAAACTCTATTATCTAAAAAACAGTGGGCAATATTCCTCTTCCAATGCTTGATTAACAAAGCAATAATGTTCCTAACACAGAAATCAAGACACTGGATTATTACTGCACAATTTGCTGGTTATTCTGTTTCTTTTAATAGACACCCACACCATTTAAAAAGGATCTGCATGCATCAAAATAGCATTTTGCCTCTTAGAAGCATTTGTATTGCTGCGCTGACCCTAAGCTGAACGATTGAAACAAAATAGTGGGTACACATGTCTAAAAATATTATATCCTTTCTTTGCCTACGGATAGTGTGTAAGTGATATTCTAATTCAGAGCCTTCAGGAGAAATGATGATTATACCCACAAACATCACTGAATTACTAATCTCCTTCTCCTGCCACAATTGGACTGTTCCAACAGTTAGCAGATTGCTTATTAATCAACAAGGGTAAACAAGACAATGCAATTTCATTTAGTGTGAGGGTTTTAATGCCTGAAAGTATTTGTGCTTAAAATGTTAATCTAGATAAGGCTTCATTAGAAGAAGTCTTGAGATGATTAAGTGCTGTTCGCTGAATTGTGCACGGGGTAGGAGTAGTCGATCAGCAGGTGGACATTCCATACAGATGTTCCACTTACTGATATAATGCATGCTATATCCATTTAAATGACCCTAACTCGGTAATAGCTGGAATTCTATTATTTCCATAATGAGAGAACCTGTACCTTTAATATTTCTGCATTTTAAATGAGGTGAATGACAAATTCCCAAACCTCTATTTATGGCAAAATATGACTAGGAATTTTATTATTCATGTCTTACCCGAGCAGCTGTTTGAGCTAGGTTTCCTGGACCAATCCTTCTTTATTTTCCTAGGGTACATGTCTATTTTCCTATATAACTCCCAATACCATCCTGGCTCTGACAAATTCTTTTTCTGATGCTATTCACCAGTTCAGTGTAGAAGACAGGAAACCCCTAGACAAGCAAAGACAAACTTGGAGCCTAGTAAAGCAATAATACTGTCTTCATCTTCTCCAGCAGTTCTTCCAACTACCTCCCCAACCCCTACTCCTACCCCATACCGTGAGACACACACACGCACACACATGCACACACACGTGTGCATGCACACACATGCACATACATATGCACACACATGCATACTTTCATTTCAATTTGTCCCCTTAATTTACAATTGTCAAGGCATGCAAATGATGAAGCCCATCTAATACCAAATTTTGCCCAAATATTGAATATGCAAGAAAGTGCTATGGTTATGGCCAACTGAAATTGATTCAAATGAGACCTAGAGACATGAATGTTGATGATTTGGGGTTTTGAACTGTGGCTAAATTGTTAAAAGAAAATAGCTAAAAAAAAATCAGGAGATGTTTTGATGGAATTTGGGTTTTGCAAACCTCTCTTTAGTAGAACAATAAGTGCATATCTATAAGCCAACAAAAAACCTCGAAGTTTTTAGCTGAGGGAAAAATCATAATGAACGGCACTAAAACTTTGTGTGGAGTTATCTCAGGCCATACTGCAAAGCAGTTCAGATGGGCTCCATTCACCTCACAAAGTCCTCACAAAGGCTATTTGGGATGTAATATGTTTTTCATAAAGATTACTGACCATGATTTCTTGAAAGTGTGCAGAACATATTGAGTTTCTACATATCTAGACAATTTGCATCTACATCTTAATGCAGGGAAGTCAAGATAAATACACTACCTTAAAAACTACAAAAGCAAGGCTGAAGAAATGGATCAGAGCTCTTGCATTGCAAGAAGGGAAAACTGAGGCTCACTTACCACCCATCCCAGCTGAAGCTGCATTTGGGTGCAGAAAGACCCTGTCTCAGGCCATTAAGACAGAACACTAGAAGACATCTGATGTCCTCTTCTGGCCTCATGTCCAAACAGGGGCACATACACCCCCATGCTGATGCACACTCACTATGCACATACACCATAGGCCCCACATAAACAACATCCTAAACATTTAAACTACAAAAGCAGGTACTGTTAACATTTGCTATCTGAGTTTTGCATCCTCACAATTCGGCAGTTTTCACTTTAAACATCTTAAGGTTTAATCTATATCCTAGATTATTTTTTTTTCCATGTGAACTGTTCAAAGGAAACTGGAAAATTTTTTTGTACCTAACATTGTTTCAGTATTTCTTTTTACCTAGAGACAGTTGATAACATTCTCCTACATAAATGTGTTTCCCGGACAACCAACAAAATGTATTTATTTATAATCACACATACTAAATAAAATCAGTGGTTTGTTGGCAACCTTCCTTAGAATCAGTATTCTACATTATTTTTCTAATAAACCGAGATACATATTCTCCATATGTACTGAGAAATGTTAAATATAACTAGCGGGAGCAAATGATTATTATTATTTTCTGCCTTAGATTTTAGAGAAATATATTTTAGAAAGCAGAAACTCCAGCTAAGTAAGTAAGGCAGTCATAGAATAAGACAAACATCCTTCCATGATCTCCTCACATCTGTGATGTGTCTTCCACTTGCTGGGCCTTCTTTCTGTAACGGAGGATTACACAGAGAACAAATCATTGCTCCTTCCGTGAAGGAGCGGAGACTTTACTAGATATGAACTACATAAATAAGCACAGTACTCTGTGGGGGGGGGGGGAGAAAGAGGAAAAGAGAAGAAAGAGTTGTGTAAGAGAGAGAGAGAGAGAGAGAGAGAGAGAGAGAGAGAGAGAGAGAGAGAACAGAGACAAACACCAAGTGATGTGCTACAGGCAAGCTGCTGCTGGAATTTTATCCACCTGTAAGGAAATGACAGGAGCCAGGGGCCCAATATGAGTGATGGAAGTCAAAGGGGTAGAGAGCCCAGAGACCTGTTAAGGTGGTGCACAATCAAGCAGGCTTAGGTGGTAAGAAGTGGTTCTTGTGTTGGGAGCTGGAAAGGAGGAGAGGGCAGAGAAACATCCACAGCACTGGTCATTACAGCCAACTCTGAAGCATGCTCTAAAGAAATCCTCCTGGTTCTGATGCGAGTCACACGGCCTTCTTGAGAAATAGGAAAGAGGCCGAGAAAACAATTTTTAAAAGGAATTTCAATTACGTCTAAGAAAGGGATTCTAAAGACTTGAGCGTTGTAGCATCCCGTCTTTATCAGAATCTTAGTGTCATCTCCCAGGAGAACTGTCCTGGCAGGCTACTCTCAAGTTTTTAACCAGCCCCTTTATTTATTTTTCATAAAGTTCCCACCAACTTTTGTCATGTTTCTAAAAAGACAGATTTGTAGTAAACATGGAAAGGCTGAAACAAATCGTCAAACTTCCATGGTTTGGGGCCGAGAAGTTACCCCCTTGCGGTAAACTCCCTGACCAGCAGGAAAGAACAGCCACCAGACGAGGATTCTTCCCAAATCACGTTTTATTGGAGCCTCTTGGTTGAAGGGAGAGCAGAGAACAAGGGGCCCCGAGCTCTCAGCTGTAGCTGCTTATATAGGGAGTCTGCCTAGCAACCTTTGATACTTTAACTGCTTTTCTGGAGACCCACCTGCCAGAAAGAAAGCAGGGGAACATCCTTGTCAATTACAGACCACAAGGAAGTTCCCCTGCCGGTCAGGGAGAGTGTGGGCAGCTAGATCACAACAACTCACCCTGTTTTCTGGTGGAAGAACTGCAACCTTAATATGGAGTTATTTATTAAGCGAGGCCGGGGCCAAATGCCATCTTGTAATGGCAGCCACTCAAATCGGCTCCCAGCACCCCCTTCTTCCCATAAGCCAATCAGACGTCGCACACACTGAAGGCATCTGTTTGGGGTCACATTGTAAGACAGTTGCTAACAGGATAACAGCTTTCCCCCTACCTTTATACACTGCTAATCTGACCTTTAATTCACCAATGGTGGAACACACAAATTTTGGAGGAAAGTGTGCTTTGTTTTGTGTGTCCCTCGGCTTAATCAACTTTTTCCCATGCTTAACTACTCATATTAGTAAGCCAAATATGATTTTAAAACAACAACAACAACTTCTGTTTTCCTTTTGTGGTGCTGCAATTTGAACGCAAAGCCTCACAAGTGGTGACCAAGTGTTCTACCATTTTCCACCAAGCCGAATAAGATATTTGCTGTTGGCTTTAGGCTCTCAGCAGCCCTGAAGGGAAGACTTCCATGTCAGTGCTTAGCTGTCACGGTGTTACACATTTACTTAAATGAAAACATATTATACAAAAGGGAGCATTTACCTGCATGTATACATTCTTGACATCAAATGAGTATTAGCTACCTCACAAAATGCAAATGAATGCAAATAAACACACAATAAAAGAACGAGTATGATTATTACTGGAACTATTATATTAAAAACAAATGCCAAATAAGAAGAGAAACGAAAAGAAAAAATAGTTTAAAAATCCCCCAAACAAAGCAAATATTGAACACGATGAAGCAAATCTAACTGGAGAAACTCCAAAGCATTTTATACCCAGTATTTCTGACAGAATTCTTATTCATGTTA